TTATATTGCAGCCATTTGCTAAAATCATTTAAGTTAATTTTTTTTCCTCATTAATGTACACACATCACCCCATATTGACAGAAAAACACAGAATTGTTGACATTTTTGCAGATTTATTAAAAAAGAAAAACTGAAATATCACATGGTCCTAAGTATTCCTTTGCTGTGACACTCATATATTTAACTCATGTGCTGTCCATTTCTTCTGATCATCCTTGTGATGGTTCTACACCTTCATTTGAGTCCAGCTTTGTTTGATTATACTGATTGGACTTGATTTGGAAAGCCACACACCTGTCTATATAAGACCTTACTGCTCACAGTGCATGTCAGAGCAAATGAGAATCATGAGGTCAAAGGAACTGCCTGAAGAGCTCAGAGACAGAATTGTGGCAAGGCACAGATCTGGCCAAGGTTACAAAAAAATTTCTGCTGCACTTAAGGTTCCCAAGAGCACAGTGGCCTCCATTCCTTAAATGGAAGACGTTTGGGATGACCAGAACCCTTCCTAGAGCTGGCTGTCCGGCCAAACTGAGCTATCGGGGGCGAAGAGCCTTGGTGAGAGAGGTAAAGAAGAACCCAAAGATCACTGTGGCTGAGCTCCAGAGATGCAGTCGGGAGATGGGAGAAAGTTGTAGAAAGTCAACCATCACTGCAGCCCTCCACCAGTCGGGGCTTTATGGCAGAGTGGCCCTATGGAAGCCTCTCCTCAGTGCAAGACACATGAAAGCCCGCATGGAGTTGTGAGATGGTGAGAAATAAGATTCTCTGGTCTGATGAGTCCAAGATAGAACTTTTTGGCCTTAAGCGTTTTTTCTAAGCGGTATGTGTGGAGAAAACCGGGCACTGCTCATCACCTGTCCAATACAGTCCCAACAGTGAAGCATGGTGGTGGCAGCATCATGCTGTGGGGGTGTTTTTCAGCTGCAGGGACAGGACGACTGGTTGCAATCGAGGGAAAGATGAATGCGGCGAAGTACAGGGATATCCTGGACGAAAACCTTCTCCAGAGTGCTCAGGACCTCAGACTGGGCCGCAGGTTTACCTTCCAACAAGACAATGACCTTAAGCACACAGCTAAAATAATGAAGGAGTGGCTTCACAACAACTCTGTGACTGTTCTTGAATGGCCCAGCCAGAGCCGTGACTTAAACCCAATTGAGCATCTCTGGAGAGACCTAAAAATGGCTGTCCACCAACGTTTACCATCCAACCTGACAGAACTGGAGAGGATCTGCAAGGAGGAATGGCAGAGGATCCCCTGAAAAACTTGTTGCATCTTTCCCAAAAAGACTCAAGGCTGTATTAGATCAAAAGGGTGCTTCTACTAAATACTGAGCAAAGGGTCTGAATACTTAGGACCATGTGATATTTCAGTTTTTCTTTTTTAATAAATCTGCAAAAATGTCAACAATTCTGTGTTTTTCTGTCAATATGGGGTGCTGTGTGTACATTAATGAGGAAAAAAAAATTAACTTAAATGATTTTAGCAAATGGCTGCAATATAACAAAGAGTGAAAAATTTAAGGGGGTCTGAATACTTTCCGTACCCACTGTATATACATATCACTCTGCTCTCTCTTTCTTCTTTCAATACAAACTAATGTATCTGTATTTTTATAATTAACACCATTTTTTGTGATTGTTCATTTTTGTTGATTCTGATGTTTGGCTCACCTCCAGGTCGTTGAAAAACAGACGTGAATCTGCCAAGTTGAAGATCATCTCCTCCATCCACAAGCCCAGAGACACAGCCTTGCCAGAGTCCTGGATCAAAACACAGAAAGCACATCAAATTAGTTTTCATACCTGGTTTGTGACAGGTGATGATTGCATTATCTCAGTCGAAGAGAGAGCATGTGGTGCAACAGGTTTTTGTCCAACAAGAATGCTGATCACTCAGCACAGTCACTGTGCTTTCAGTCAGAAGCGTGTCAAACTACTACTCGTTCTCTTGTTTTCTCTTCATGTTGTAGGTGAAGCTAACATAAGCTAAGGCATTGTGTGCTCCCGTTCCATGCAAGCTATGTAACTAGCCGCTAACTCCTCCGTTTGGCAGCGGATCAAGCTGTGGGTGTCAGCCAGAGGTTAGTGTCAGATTAACCACGAAACAGCTCTTCCTCTACGCTTATCCTGCTTTAATTAAGATAATAAGCTGTAATCTGCCGTCATGAATGGACGCCTTTATTACAGGTGGCAGTCAAACACAGAATAATAGATGTACCACTTTAGAATTATGACTGATGGGTTTTTAGGAAGGACTGTAATGAAGTTACGACATATGCTATTTAAAAAAGATAAAAGGTTTTTCTTTGGGGGGGGGGGATGCATTTATAAATATATGATGAAATTACAGCTATAGCTATAATTAGCTATATATATTTCTTCTTATAAAAATATTGAGTTAATAATTTTTTATATTTTCCTGATACATTTTTTGGTGATTTGTTTGTTTAAAATAAAAATTATTATATTTATATTTGAGCTCATACATAAATGTACCATCAGAACAATGGGAAAATATTCTTCCCACTGGTCGCTCTTTTGCGACTAACTTTCTCACACGAGCGCATAATTTGGTCGCAATTTTTTTTTTCTACAACATGGTATTAATCAATGCATGCTGATTAACTTTTATCATAGTTTATAGTTATATGGTAATGAGTGTTCAACATTCCACCCGTTCTTTTTCATCATTATCATTTGTGACCCTGGACCACAAAACCAGTCATAAGGGTCAATTTCTTGAAATTGAGATTTCTACATAATCTGAAAGCTGAATAAATAATCTTTCCATTGATGTACGGTTTGTTATGATAGAACAATATTTGGCTGAGATACAACTATTTGAAAATCTGGAATCTGAGGGTGCAAAAAAATCAAAATATTGAGAAAATCACCTTTAAAGTTGTCCAAATGAAGTTCTTAGCAATGCATATTAGTAATCAAAAATTAAGTTTTGATATATTTACAGTAGGAAATTTACAAAATATCTTCATGGAACATGATCTTTGCTTGATTTTTGGCATAAAAGAAAAATCGATAATTTTGACCCATACATTGCATTTTTGGCTATTGCTAAAAATATACCCAAGCGACTTAAGACTGGTTTTGTGGTCCAGGGTCACATTTGTGATTTAAATTTTGTGAATGGGAATTCCTCTTTTGCTGTGTTATAAGCTCGAATTTGCGATCTTGGTGTCACGTTTTACAAAAAAAAATGAATTGTCTGTTTTGCTTATATCTATACACCTTTCACTTTTTAGGACTAAAACAAAAGATGGATTCATTGTTATTCTTAATTAAAAAGCACAACAACAATAAAACAGTAAGCTATTTTGACAAACTAGCTTACATAACGTTTATTAACGAAAACGAATAAGGCATGACATGCACCACATGCTATATTATATACTAACTAATAAATTACAGAATGTTTAGAATACACTGAGGAATCAAATACATAAACAAAAACATTAAAGAAAGCCTCCATAGCGTAAAGATAACAAGCTTTTCAAAACGAAAACAAAAAGAAAAGTAAAACTAAAATTAAGCTTTAGCGTTAGTTCTGGCAGGTCACGTGAGTCAAGCTTGCATCAGCTGATTCTCAGCTGATCACATCTACCTATAGGAATACGACACCTATCGCGGCATTCTTATATAAGCTGTATTCAGTATTATTCAGCAGCTTTTCAGCTTGCTTCGGAGCAAATTACCCTCCTCCATCCCCAGCTCCTCCTTTCGCCACAGTCAGGACTTAGCTTTCTGATATTCCTTGCTAATCAGACTCCTTTATCTTGAATAAAGTGTTACACTTAAATATCATTGAGTACATTAATGATATCTGCTTTGTTCTGTTCTGTTAACCCTGGGGGGCTATTATTGCTGCTCTCCCTGCTCATTCATGACAGGCTGCATGGATGGGCAGGGAGGTTTTTTGCCCAGAACAGAACCATACCACCATACCAAACTTTATGCTAAGTATCTATCATTTTGACGATAGTGGTCCTGACAGAACTGTGTTAAAAAACACATTAGCAAACGAGTGTCTTTCATCACCCTGAGAGATTCTGTATTCAGTAGGTCGAGTCTTGCTTTTGGCCAATCAGCACAAACAGGCTGTTTACAGTGATGAGCTTATGGCTTTGACATAAAGTGCATATAAAAAAGTGCGTTAAATATCCTGTTACTTAAAGATGTGAAATCCGAGCCAACGCAATCGCGGCTCTTTGTCTTGACCGTAAGCGGCCTTGTCATGACACACATCAAACTTGTTCCTATTTAACTCCAGCCCAATTTCAGTTTCATATGGATGTTTTCTTTGATTTGCTATCTCCAGTGGATTCCTGCCGCAGTACTAAGCTACTCTGGAGTCTTTTTCCTGGATCTGAAATTAGACACATTAGTCACGGCAACATTTCTGCAGTTCTCAAAAAGATCTGCGCGCTTGAGACGGCCAAGCGTTTCTCAGAGTCTCTTATGTGCCACGTCAAATCCGCAAGGGATCGTGGGAATTCAAAATAGAGTGCTGGCCAAGAAAAAGAAACATGACCATTGTTTCCTCATCAGCTGCCTGGAGATTGCGTAGAAGTTCATGAGCCGTCAATCAAACCAGAGCGGCCAAATAACAAGTCTGGAGCTGAAGGAGCGTCATTATATCTTTCACTGTTCATTTAGTTCTTCCGCATTTACTGTCTGCTGACGACGTTACTCTGAAACAGCTGTGGAACATATTTATTTATTATGAAAAAGAGATCATGAGGGACTTTTGTTGCTGCTAACTTTTAGGGCTTTAAATGGATTCAAATCAACCAAATGTGATTTGTACGCATTTCAATTTTTGCTGAAATTTATTCTGCTGTATATATGATATATAAACTACCATTCAAAAATTAAGTGATGGTAAGATTTAAATTTGTATTCAGTAAGGATGCATTAAATTGATGAAAAAATCAGTAAAGACTGTTTAAAAGAAATGCTGTTCTTTTACATTTTCTAATTTTCAAAAATCCTGAAAAATACAATGCATCATGGTTTTCACAAAAATATGAAGCAGCACAACTGTTTTCAACATTGATATTAATCAGAAATGTTTCTTGAGCAGCAAATCAGCATATTAGAATGATATCTGAAGGATCATGTGACACTGAAGACTGGAGTAATGATGCTGAAAATACAGCTGCGCATCACTGAAATAAATTACATTTTTAAATATATTCACATATAAACTAGCTTCTTTACATTATATAATATTTTACTGTTTTTACTGTATTTGTGATCAAATAAATGCAACCTCGGTAAGCATAAGATACTTTAAAAACATTAAAAAGCTTACTGACCCCAAACTTTTGAATTTGTAAATAAGGTGAAATACAGATTCCTGAGTAATATATATATTTTGTATTAAATATATATATATAACTAACATATATACATACACACACACACACACACACACACACACATACA